GGAGGGGGAAGCGGTGCAGCACCAACACTGTTTCTAGTGGGGAGGGTGTGCTGCTGACCTCGACTCGGGACGTTGTGGGTCGGTGGGCGGAATACTTCGAAGACCTCCTCAATCCCACCAACATGCCTTCCATTGAGGAAGCTGGGCCTGGGGACTCTGGGCTGGGCTCTCCAATCTCTGTGGGCAAGGTCGCCGAGGTGGTTAAAAAGCTCCTCGATGGCAGGGCCCCGGGGGTGGATGAGATCCGCCCGGAGTTCCTCAAGGTCCTGGATGTTGAGGGGTTGTGTTGGCTGACGTGACTCTGCAACGTTGCATGGACATCGGGGGCAGTTCCCCTGGATTGGCAGACTGGGGTGGTGGTCCCCCTATTTAAAAAGGGGGACCGGAGGGTGTGCTCCAATTACACTCTTAAGCTTCCCCGGCAAGGTCTATTCAGGGGTGCTGGAGAAGAGGGTCCGTCGGATAGTCAAACCTCGGATTCAGGAAGAGCAGTGTGGTTTTCGTCCTGGTCGTGGAACGCTGGACCAGCTCTACACCCTCAGCAGGGTCCTGGAGGCTGCATGGGAGTTCGCCCAACCAGTCTACATGTGCTTTGTGGACTTGGAGAAGGCGTTCGACCGTGTCCCTCGGGGGGCCCTGTGGGGGGTTCTCCGGGAGTACGGGGTGCCGGGCCCTTTGATACGGGCTGTCAGGTCCCTGTATGACCGGTGTCAGAGTCTGGTCCACATTACCGGCAGTAAGTCGGGCTCGTTTCCGGTGAGAGTTGGACTCCGCCAGGGCTGCCCTTTGTCACCGATTCTGTTCATTACCTTCATCGACAGAATTTCTAGGCGCAGCCAAGGTGTTGAGGGGATCCGTTTTGGTGGCCTTAGGCATCTCTGCTTTTTGCAGATGACGTGGTCCTATTGGCTTCATCAGGTCGTGATCTGCAGCTCTCGCTGGATCGGTTCGCAGCCGAGTGTGAAGCGGCCGGGATGGGGATCAGTGCCTCCAAATCCGAGGCCTTGAGCCGGAAAAGGGTAGAGTGCCTTCTCCGGGTCAGGGGGGGTGTCCTGCCCCAAGTGGAGGAGTTTAAGTATCTCGGGATCTTGTTCACGAATGAGGGAAGAAGGGAGCGGGAGATCGACAGGCGGATTGGTGCAGCGTCTGCCGTGAAGCGGGCGCTGTACCGGTCCGTCGTGGTGAAGAGAGAGCTGAGTCAAAAGGCGAAGCTCTCGATTTACCGGTCGATCTACGTTCCTACCCTCATTTATGGTCATGAACTCTGGGTCATGACTGAAAGAACGAGATTGCGTATACAAGCGGCCGAAATGGGTTTCCTCCGTAGGGTGGCTGGGCTCTCCCTTAGAGAAAGGGTGAGAAGCCCGGTCATCTGGGAGGGATTTGGAGTAGAGCCGCTGCTCCTCCACGTCGAGAGGAGCCAGTTAAGGTGGGTCGGGCACGTCCCACCGGGAGGAGGCCCCGGGGAAGACCCAGGACACTCTGGAGAGACTATGTTTCTCGGCTGGCCTGGGAACGCCTTGGGGTTCCTCCTGAGGGGCTAGAATAAGTGGCTGGGGAGAGGGAAGTCTGGGCCTCCCTTCTTAGGCTGCTGCCCCGCGACCCGACCCCGGATAAGCGGAGGAAGATGGATGGATGGATGGATGGATGGATGGATGGATGGATGGATGGATGGATGGATGGATGGATGGATGGATGGATGGATGGATGGATGGATAACAAAAACAATAGAGTTGCTTTTCATAGTTTACTGCTGTTTCGAGGCATTTTTGTGGAAGAAAATAAAATAGCTCCTCACCATTCCATGGCATTGGCTAATCCCTCCATGTCATTGCTTAAATCAGCACAATCTGCGCACAAATCTTGTCAGATTTTCAGAGCTAAAGACCCTAAGAAATGAAAACATAGCTTTAGGATGGATAAAATGTAACATGAATTAATTGAGAAGATAAAGAAAGCAAACCAAGAACCCCTATTAATCTAAAGTGAACATTATCCAAATCTCTCACCTGTAGGATACTATGGGAAACTTGTGCTATAATGGTTGTATCTTTCAGTTGCAGGAAGGAAATAATCTTGAGCAGTACGTCATCAGATAAACGTTCGGGTTAGTCGTAATTCCCCTCACCAAAAAATGGTGCCAATGTCATCTATAAAGGAGGTACCATATCATAGCTTTGTATATTCTTGAAAATTTACATAAATAATCAAAAGTAGGGAGCAGAATTTACTTTTTAGTGTACTGCTAGTAGTAGTCTGTTTTTATACATACCTTTGTGATGTTAAATGTACAAAATATGTAAAAGGTAGCAGAATTTGAAAAAAAAGAAATGTTTTTTTTTTTCTTTCTGCAGGATATATTATGCAGAGGTACATTATGCAGATATGTTATGTTTCTTCTAACAGCTGTCTAGCAAACACTTTGATAATAAAACATTGATCTTCATATTTTTGACATTTAGGATGTATAAAAAGCTTAGAATCAAATCATTTTTATTTGGGTAGGACAATCCTATATTGACGTTTTATCTAGTTATCTGACGGTTAAATGAGTGCTTTATCTTCCTCGCTTAAATTCCTTATTTCTATACCTGGTGGCAAGATGACTTCAGGCCTTTGGCCTTGTTTGTCACTGTTCTTTTGTTTTCAATTGCATATTACTGCTACAACTACAACAGTGGTTGAATGTAATAACTAACTATTTTCAGACTTAAGAAAGATTAAAACAATTCTGCTGTTAAAGAGGACACTTTCTTGTTTTTCTTTGCTACTATGAGAAATAGGCTTCTGTAATAATGTCATATTTATAGAATAATGAAAAAGAAAGTTAGGTTTTACAAAATGCAAAATCCTCAAAGCTCTGATCAATTGAAAGATCAAAGTGTTTACTTTTCACTTGTTTTAATTTTCAATTACACCTATTTCATGGGAATTTGCAGAAATGTTTCTATTTCAGTGATACTGTACAATTTTAATTGTGTCTTAATGTAAGATTTTTGTTCCTTACAATGAATAGATACAGTCAGACTGATAGTATTTTTACCCAAAATGTTGTGTAAGGAGATTAACAAGTATACTCTGGTTTTGTTTGGTTTTTTTCATTTTCATTTCCAACATGTTTTATAAAGGTTTGAAACAGATTATTTCCTGTTAACTTTACAGTTATGTGTAGAAGCAAGATTAAACCTACAAATCAGAGTGTCATGTTTTTAAGCTTTAGTTTCCTGGTTTAATAAGAAAGAAATTTGGCTTCCCAGAAATGATTTACTAAGAATTTGGAAGAAGCCTAAGCCTTTTAGGAGATGTTTGCTTTCTATTGATTTTCGGCTTCAATCTAAACCTGACATAACTGGCATTTTATTTGATAGAAAAGATAACAATCCTCATCCAAAATTATGTATTTTATGAATTATTAATACTTATAGGCTACCAGACAGAGTTATGTATGACAAAACTGATTCAGACATTTTTAAACATTACTTATATGCATAGATTAAGGGGCTATAGATATCTACACTGCAGTATTTTGTCCAGTAGAAAACCATGGTGAGCTGTCTTAAGCTGTTTTGGAAGATAACCTCGATATTCACATTGAGGAGAAATTGTCCACAATGTCCATATAACCTTAAATTAAAACACATGAATAAACAAATAAACTAGGGCTGCAACTAACGATTATTTTGCTAAATTAATCTGTATATAATCAGATACCCAAATTGTTCCTCAAAAAAGACTTTTTACAGAATTATATCAGGTAAACCTAAAACTTTTCCCTGAGGAGTTCTCGATAGAGCATATTGACGAAAAAGATTTTTTAAAATCTCAAATGCAAAATGTTTATATATTTATTTACAATGTTGGTATAATTACTGCTCCAAGTGGGCCGCTCTGTCAGCTAAAGGCATGTTTTACAGTCTTTATACTCCATTTAACGATTAATTAATTACTAAATGAGTTTAACATTATCTCAATAATCGATTAACCCGATTTAATTGTGTCAGCCCTAAACATACTTAGAGAATCAAGCAAATCACTGACATTTTAATTCTAAGATATGTAAAGAATGAAAGGATTCGGGCAAGAACTTTTCTGGGTTAATACAGAAAAAAAGGACACAATTACTGTACCTCATTTCTGGTAATTACAAGTTGGTAAAAATCTTTAGAAGGCGGTAGACCTAGACCACTAATTTCAAACAGTTGTTTCACCCTCAACGACACCATTTTGGACGCAACTGTAACCATGACAACTAGAAAAGCAATGGGCAAATAAATTAATCAGAGGAGGAACGGGTTTAAAATGCGTTTTGTATAGGTAAAAGGTAAGATAATAGTAATCGCGAGCAGGTAAAAAATATGAATAGAGTTGTATGAAAGGGGGGTCACGACCCAGCGGATTGATACTGTATATTTGTGACAAGGTAATGTTACCAGTGTTTAACGAAATTCGCGTGTGTTTAAAAAACACTCTGTATTCTTCAAAAGTAAACGATTTTTTTAACTGAAAGCCTGCGGCTGTATGCGATGCACTTTTCTCTCGACTCGCATACAGCAGATGAAAATGCATATAGTTCCCTAGCGGATGGATAACGCGGATGTTTATTGCAGTTGTAGGCCGCTCAGCTGATGCAAAGCTATCTGGGTAGAGAGAGAAAAGAGGAGCAGTGCAGTCTGTTACAACTACAACACTGGAACAAATAGGTAACAACAATACTTGAAATGGTAACATTTTCAGTGACATCTCAGTCAGTAGACATTTGAAATGATTCAATGTAGATTCGTATCAGTAGAATTGTGATTCGTTGCCGTAGAATTATCCCGAACCCCCTTCCTGCTTTCCTGTTTTTTGTGTCTAAAATGTATCAGTGGCCATTTCTTTTTTTTTTTTTTTGCAACATAGCGAGGTCGTGCTTCCCTTTTTTTGTTTTTCTGAGTTAATATAGTTGGAGTTAAATGTTTTAAATGCGAAAATCAGAGTTTTATGAAGTGTATTGATACCCTTATTTGTGAATCCCATCCTGTTGAGCTGGCAAAGCGCTAGCCAGTGACAACAAGGGAAGCTCTTATTGATTAGCATACCAAGGTTAGCTGCTACAACGCTCTTGGGTGATTTAACGTCGCTTTAACGTAACCTACGTGACTGTCCCGCGGAGGCTAATTCTGTTTTGATAAGGTTAGTATTTCATAAGTCTGAGAACTTTCATTTTTGATAACAAACAACAACGTATAAACAGATTTTTTCTACTTTGTGAGCTTACCAACGAACGGTCATTGAGGGGAGCTATGTTGCATGGCTAAGCTCATATTAGCTTGCTAATAATTAACTAGCATCGACGTTTGTCAGTTTGGCCCCAATATTAGTATTTTTCGGCTTTTTTTGGTCCTATTTTCTTAAACTCTAACAAAGAGCAGTGTGTTTTGTTAACACGTTTTTGTACAACTTGTTTTCTCTACGCTAGCATTAGCTACAGCCCCGGACATTGCTGCAGTGAGAGGAAACCCTTGGCCTTTAGTAGGATAAGAAAACATCGGTTAGGCTATCATATTTAGTTAAAGGTGACTAGCAGTACAGTTGTACACGACAACTAGTTTGACAGTGTTAATAAGAATGTGTCGTTATATTTGAGTTTTTTTGGCCCTGTCAATCGCGTATTCAGTGTAGTATTTCGCTGCCAAGCATCATAAAGGTAGGTTACCGCATTTTGGTCCATCAAATCTATTTTCGCTGTCTTTAAAATTGTCATCCATACTTGTGTGTCATAATAGCCCGAATACCCACCTAGCTAGCCACATAGCTTTATTAAATCAAACCGCTTTTGAATGACGATCCATCCGATGCTGCCATTTTTTTGGTACCTAGCTTACCTCAAGTAGTTATTTTCTCTTTCGCGAGGCTATCTAGCCAGTGTTTAAATAGTACATTATAATACTTTTACATAACAACTAACAACCGAGATAACCGTTAAAATATACCCATGAGATAAGTGGCTAAATAGGTTGACAGACCGGTACTCAAACTACGCAGTTCAATGCAACAGTGCTACATTAGCCAGAGCAACTTTCATAGTTTAATTTGTTCAGGAGAGCGTTTTTCTTCTTGGGATACTTTACGGATTGTGGATTTCGCAGTTAGGATGTTAACTTTTCTCGGGCAACAATACAAAGCGAGTCGGCTGCTGTCAAAACGTGTGAGATGATGAGGAATGAGTGGCTCGACATGCTAACGTTGCTCGGAGATGCTAAACAACTACGTCAGAAACACGGGCCTTATGGAAATCGTAGGTGCAAAACAGGACACAGTTTTTTACGTTTTATGCATAAAAAAAGAACAAAGATGATATGGCGATTAAAAATGTGAGATACTTGGTGTGAAATGGTAATCACATTACTGGCCAGTGGACATGGCAGTTGTCAGGAGGGCTCAAATAACAAAGACAAGGATGCACTGTCAGTGCAGGCCTAACGTGGCCCTGAGAGCTTGGGGAATGTGGCGTATTTGTCATCAGATTCATTATATCATGTCTTCAGTTACTTAATTTGGCAATACTTGGATGCATTTTCCATAGCCAAAAGCATTTAGATTGTAACATATCATTTTATTTATAAATAATAAATCCAGCAGGATATGTTAATGTGTGCTGTGGACAACATGCCCTAGAAAATATAGCATTTTGGCTTTAATTAAATAATCATTAAATAATTTTATGGTACATTGAAAAAATGTACTAAAGAAATGGGCATGAATAGGGTTTCTACTTGAAGAGTTTCAGTTGATTTAATTAACTTTTGCATCAAAGCAATGTGAATTACAGTGAATGAATCGTTTCTGGTCTTAGATAAAAGCTTTTGATTACATCACCTGTGGTTTTGTGGCTATGAACATAAGGTTTATTTGTTGACAACAGTCCCTTTATCACTAATTGGATTAGTTTTCCTTTTCTTTTCTTTTTTTTTTTAAACAAGCTTACATGCATTTTAATCAAGATGTTTTTTTTATAAAGTAGGGAATCTGAAATAAAAGGGAGCTCTAGCATAATTCTACAAATATGCCTGTTTATTTTACTTCACATTTTTATTTTACTGTTTTCTACTCACTTTGTTTTGTTGTAGTGAATGGTTGTGTCTAGAAAGGGTATGTCCCTTCAGGAGAGAGGTGCCAATGTCCAACCGGCCTAATTCCAATCCAGGGGGGTCACTGCGCCGTTCACAGAGGAACACTGCTGCGGCCCAGCCACAAGACCACACAGTAGCTGGAAGGTAAGTCCTTTTTGTACGTTTTCTGTCTGCTTTCAGAATCTATAAAAATCCCCCATTTTTCTTTTTTCTCATTAAATCTACTGTGAAGAGGGATGTTTAGAGTTTTACTTCAGTGATCACAGTAGAACATTTTACCCAGAAGTGAATGTACTTTTGCTACAAGACATGTCGCTCCTTTTTTTAATGGATGTGATCAAGTCTGGTTTAAGCTGTTTTTGATGTTACTCCAGAGGAGTCGAGTGACTATAGGAATTGGCATTTCTCTCTTTATTAAAATATTTTAGGGATTAATCAACTCTTTCATATGGGCTTTTTCTAGAAACCCACAATGTTCCTTGCTCTTTTAATGTCCAACCTTACAGATTGCAGTCAGAGCAGGTAAAACATAAACCAAATTCCCCACCTGAAAGTAGAAGACCTAATTCTAAGGCTCCCAAAGCCTCTGCCAGCTCAGCCACTGGCCAGTCCAGAGGGCACAGCTCAAGAAGGTACCCCTATTTCCTACTTGGTACATAGTATGTGTGTCTATCAAGGTTTGGGCTACAGTCGTCTGTGTCATGTGTATTTTACACATTTGTTTACAATATTGAATAGGCATATTTTCTATCTGATTTCCTGAATTCCCCAAGACATTGGATATTTCTTTTTCTTTCCAACCTTACAGAAGCGGTCTTACCCTATCCGTGGCTTCGTTTGTGTTACAAGACGACCCAGAGGCTGCAGGAACATCTGAACAGGAACGACCAGGCCACCAGTCAAAGAGTGAGGGCACCCGAGGGCTTAAACGGAGTGAAGCTCTTGACCAAATTAGTGTCCTTGGACCCACCCCTGCCAAGAAGCCCAAATTGGTTCCAACATCCAAAAACAATACCTCAGAGACCAAGAAAGGTCCAGCTAAGTCAAAGAAGAGACAGGCTGCTTCAGAGGCTCCTGCATCGACAGGTCGAAGTCAGAGCAAGAAGAGTGCTGCCTCTCCAGTTCCAAAACGGAAAAAATCTGACTCTTTCCCAGGTCTAAGTAGCACCACTGGGTCTCTACCCAATTGTACCGAAGGCAGAACTGCAAAACCAACCAAGCTGGCGTCTAAATCGGCCGCCTCAGCCAAAGCTGGGTGTAGCAACGTGACAGACTCGTCCTCTTCTGCCTCCTCTTCCTCCTCTTCTTCTACCACAGGCACCAACAGTGCTGCTACGCAAGGCGCTCGTTTGAAGCAGGGAAAAGATCAGACAAAGGCTCGTCGTTCCAGATCAGCATCCAGTCCCTCCCCACGCCGCAGTACACGAGACAAGGAGCAGGCCAAAACTGCCAGCTCTTCAAAATTTGAGTGGGCAACACGCTTTAATCCCAAAGTTAACTTGCCAAAACCCAAACTTTCCTTACCTGGAACTTCCAAAACTGAGACCTCCAAACCTGGGCCATCTGGATTACAAGCGAAACTAGCAAGTAAGTTGTGCAACCGTTTACGTGTGTGTGTTTGTGCTTGCATGGATGGATATGCAACACCTTTTGAATGCTTGGGATTTATATCCAAACCAACTTCACGGTCTCCATTACAAATCCTGACTTTATAATCACTTAAGAATGTTTAATACGCCTCATGAGCTCCAGGATGTTTATAGCACAACATCCATTACTCAAAATAATAAACTAAAGACAAAGAGTTTCTTAAAGCATCACCATATTAATGAATAATAACATTTCTGTGCACCAATGCAGTTTAAAGCAATATCTTATGGTTATGCTTAATGCACACAAAAAAACTTATCTGCATTAAGTTTTCTCCTGCATAGCAGAACCAAATTCATGAAAATATCTGGATGCAAAAAATCTGATTTTACTCTTTCACATCCCTCATTTATCACTTTTCATTGCACGATTTAGGCATGCCCCACAGAGCTCTTCTAAGCTTCAAAGCAGAGCAGAATAGACCATTTTAGATATAAATTAGGACTGGACCTAATGTCTGCCGAGTGCATGGCGGAACAGGATTTCTGTGGCTCCTTGAAAAAGTTTACATTTACACTAATTTTCAGGCCTTAAAATTATTTTAAATAAGTCTTCTTTAATCTCACCCACATGATCCTACCTCCAGTTCTCAGTAGAACGCTCTGTGACATGGAGTCGTACTATATTGAATATATATCTACAACTTCAAACATGCAGGTAGCCAATAATCTTTCATGTTATTGGCTAGGCCATGGGGTGTGATGGTCCATGGCTGGAAACAGAAGTGGTGTTGTAGTCGTGGGGAAATGCAAAGTTAATGGCATTTTACTGTGAAAGGCGTGAGATGGATGACAGCTATCAGTCCATTCTGCTTCTCTATCCCAAACCCACCACTGATGGTGTAATGACCTCCGACTAGTCTTTGGATCGCTACCTACAGACAAGGGGAGGATCTCTGGATCCACCACAAAACACTGCATCGTAAATGTGTCTTAAATTAATTGGAAACCATGAGAAGCAGAATAAATTCAGGGTACAACAGATTTCAACCCAGTTTTAGACTCCAGATATGTTTGAGTAAAACAGGCGCAGTTGCCATCGGCTACAACTCTCAAATTCAGGTTGTCGAAAGGACAGCTGTCAGAGCAGGACCTGCTGTGGAGGGAAGAAAATATATATAAATTAAATATTTTAAATATTGCCTTTTCTACTTGTTAAGCATTATACTTAAGTTTTATAGAATTATCTATTGTTACAATGGATCATTACTGGTCCGTCATCCTTACAGATTTCTCTTCACTGTTCGGCATATAAGTGGTCTACGGATTGGTCGACCTAAATAAATAAATAATAAAGAGGTGTGTTCACGTGGACAGTGGCTGTTCAGTCCAATCAAGTAACACAGAGAGGTGATCATGGCTTGCAGAGGAAGAGTAGAGCTTGAAAAAGAACCTGCATCATTTAAGTCTCATGTATGGAAGTATTTTGGCTTCCATGTCAAATACAGTTATGTTGAAGGAAAGATGGTGGGCAAAACAATGATGGCGCTGTGGCATTAAAAAGCCATGAGAGTAGAAATGTGTATATGAAGAACTGCATTCTACTTGGATGTAAAATAATTGCCATCATGGCTTTGCCAAGCCGCTGCCTTCCTTTGTGAAGCAGGAACAAGACTAATACAAAGTGAATCCAGTAGAACTTTTTTTTGCCTACCTGGAATAGGTGACAATAGCTGAATAAACTTTTAGCTCTCAAAATGATATTGGTACCCAATTTGTTGTTACTCGCCGATACCGATACCACCAATTTAGTGCTGGCCCCATCTGATACTGGTATCAGTATCAGTGCAACTCTAATGGCAACCCAATTGAAGTTGCATCATCTGGGCTTATAAGCACCTGCGACAGGATCAAAGACGAGAGCTGCTAAACAACCGGAGTATTTAAACAGCCTTTAGGGCAGAATCAGACTGAGCTAAAGCTATAACGCTATCTGAAGTTTTATAGCTGCACAATGTATTTTCCGAGCTGTAAGAGAGCGAATTAATTGTAGAAAGATGTTTTTACGTGTAAATTTTTTTCCAAAGCAAATTAAACGAAGTTGCAAAGTGGTTTCAGATGGGTACAAGTTTTACACCTGATATAACATTAAGACAAGAATTCTGGTTTGTCATACAATAGTCTGATAATGCTGCTAATAAAGTTTGGATTTCCGGAAACTGCTGAATGCTAGGATTTCAAAACTGCAGTAAACCATAAAACAAGGTGTGCTGAACTGAAGCACACCTTGTTGTTGTGCACAAATTGCCCCCCAATTCATTGCTGGGGAACCAAAATGTGAGAGAAGCAATTATCTTTCCAGCTACAGACTGACTGTGGGGAAACAGCAATATTTTTACAGAGAAAAAGGATAAAAAAAACTTAAAAAAAAAAAAAAATGTCGCAGAATAAGCACTCTGCTCTAACAGTATTTCCAGTTTTGGATCATTTTGGAGCTGGATCTGTGCTACTTCTGTATGTACTCTTTAACCTAGAATTGTTCACATCTCAGGGAGATTTTTAGTCAAACTTACATTTCTATTAAACACATTTTTTTTATTTCTAATGAAAATGAGGCAGGAAACCCTAATAAAATAGGGAAATGTTCTAACTTGCATGTTTTTGTTTACAGTCTTGTCGTAATTGATGGCAGGCTCTTGCCCCTTCAAGTGGTATTTTGATTTGTTTTTGATGGCCAACAGATCTTTAGGTTCGAAGCCCAAAAGACACTTCAAGGAGACAAAATGTGGGTTTCCTTAAATAACAGAAATATGAAAAGTGATGGCTTTAATCTGCTTAACATAATGTAAATAAAACAGTAGTAGAGCTGTGGCTGCTACTCCCAGGAGATTGAATGCTGCTATCCTTACCCCTGAAATCGACTTAAAACAGATATTTTAGTATTTTTTTTACAGGTGGCACCATCTGTGACTACTGGAGGGAGCAGGTTCATCTATGTGTTTGCATGTCATTTGTCTACATGCCAAGAAGGAACTCTACTATATTGGACAGATGTCTAAGTTTATGAACACATTTAAACCCAGGAACGTATGTTTGCTCTGATTGGTTTACAGGGTTTGGTTTTATAGACACTGATAAAAATCCACAAACCATCTTGGTTATATGTAGACAAAGGATGGACAAGCTTCTGATTTGGGGTCTTAAGTGGGATGCAGAGAGATGCAGATAAACACTTTTATTAATGTCTTTTTGTCAGAGGGTGGCGGGGGGTCATCTTCAACACAAACGGCACAACGACAACACTTCACTTTAGAAAACACAGACCATTACAACTTTATCAAAGCCTCTTTATGCAGTTCGAGAGACAAAGGTACTTTTTTCCCTGGAGTTTTCCCACAATCTTTTGATAGGGATGATATTTATGGGCCTAATCGCACAATGTCTTTAGATGTTTACATTTGTGAACCCTCACCAGCAGGAGCTGCTGCGCACTCTGTCTTTACCGTGTAGTCACAAATTTTTCCAAGTTGTGCCATGCGAAAATTCTGTCCACGCTGAGTGGCGTGGAAGATTGTGCATGAGCAGGGCACTGCTTGCTTCATCCGTGGTTGTACATTAAACAGGGTGCATCCTTGTTTACCCTTAGGGAGAACCAGTCATTCTAGAATAACGAGCCAAGACATTGAAACAGGTTGAATATCTTTCATTTTGAGGTTGGTCTCACTCTTAACAGTCCAACATAGCTGGAATATCTCAAGATTACGATCAGAACTACAACCCATCACCCTTAAAAGTTTTCTGAAGGGGAACATGGGGTCAAAAATCAATTCTTCATAAATGAAGGATTATGAAAATATTGTTAACCTAAGGACAAAATCTTTTGACCCTCCAGATGAACCTTCACAGCCCACCACGGGGTCACGGCATTCACCTTAAAGACCTCTGGTCTAGGCCCTTGTCATGCATAAAAAAAGACTTTGATGGAAACCATTCATTGGACTGTATGTTAAAGCTCATTGTTGTGCTGGAATGTAAACCTCTTCCACCCTCTCAGGTCTTTACCGACCTCTTTAGGATTGTGTTAGGGCTGAAAAAATTAATCGGATTAATTGTGATTAATCGATTATTGAAATAATCCTCAACTAATTTAGTAATCAATGAATCATTAACTGGATTATAAAGACTGTAAAACATGCATTTAGCGCAGTAATTATACCAACATTGTAAAAAAAAAAAAAAAAGAAAAAAATTTGCATCTAAGATTAATGCAAAAATTCTTCTTTCAATATGCTCTATCAGGACTCCTCAAGTGGAAAATGTATTTCACCTTGTTTAATTTTGTAAAAAATCTTTAAGGAACCTTTTGCTATCCGATTATTAATCGAAAAAACAATTGACAGATTAATGAGTTTGTAAAAAAAAATCAGTAGTTGTAGCTCTAGTTTGTTTTAACTCTGCCTTTGACCAACTCTGACCTGATTTCACTGTATTTTACTTTTAAGCTATATTTACTAGTTAAGTGACTTAAAAATAATTGCTCCCCCTGGACATTAATTTGAGGGTACTAAAGAAAGTGGGCTTCAACACAAAGACCATTCTACCCCTAAAAAAATATTTTTTTTAATTGAAGATTATGCAGTACTTTGTGTTTTCCTTCTGCAATAAGTCCAAGTAAAATACATAGATGATTGTGGTTGTTGGAAGTATAAGTAGACAAAAAAAGTAAGAGAAGACAAAACCTAACACCTAGCTGTATGCTGTTCATATGCCTGTCACAAAACAGTATGGGTTAGTAATGAAGTTGGCTTATTTATATCTGAACCCAGGAGCTACTTAAAGAAGGTTATGTCTTTTATATTTCAGCTTGAAATTTAGCAAAGTGTGGTGGTGGGATGAGCCAATACGAGCGCTATTGTGTGTGGAACAGCTGCTTTTCAACGTGTGTAGCTTATATAAGCTCTTCGTCTGTAAATTTCCTGTGTACCTGTAGGAGCAAGTGTCTCTAAAATAATTCACTATTTCCTCCACGTATGAAGCGCTGCTTTCCTCTGTCACACAGAACTAGCAGCTGACTGTACAGTTATAGTTAAGTAAACTTAAGTCAAAAAGTTACAGTTTGACTTTTTGACTTAAGTTTTTTAACATGTAGTTTTTGCATTTCTTCACAGTTGTTGAATTTCAAAGAACATGACGTACTACTGGCATGGCATGGAAATTACTCCAACTTTTTACTGTTGGTGTCATGCGCACTAGACACTGACATTTTTTCGGGAATCCCACGGGTCACGGGATTCCCGTGGGATTCCCGTGGGATGGGAGTCAGTATTAGTAACGATCACGGGATTGGGACGGTACAGGATTAAACATTAACGGGAGCGGGAGCAAACCAATAGTAACTTCCGCTCTGGGTTTTTCACCCGCGCTCAAAAACTACAAGAATGGGAGTGGTGCAGGAGCGGGAGTCATTCTGAATGGGAGCGGGATGGGAGTGGGAGTAATTTCACCAGGAGTGGGACGGGACAGGATTTAGATTTCTACTCTGGCCCGGGATCGGGACGGGACACCATTTTTTTCTGTGGGAGTGGGACAGGACAGGAGTGAAAATCCACTCCCGTGTCAGTCTCTAATGCGCACTGAGGTTATAATTAAATCGTCAGGCAGATGTCTTAAGGAAAGCGAATCGCACTTCTGTTTCAAATGTCATGAAATAGATATGACTTGATACTAAATGGTACAGAAAACTGCGATATTAAGTCAAAATTGATATACAGCCAGCCCAGAACAAAGCACACATTGCATCTTCTACCAGATTCTGTAGAGACTCTGCCTTCTTTCTGCTCCTTCTGTTTTATACTGATGATTACCATAACTGGTAGCTAGACAGCAGCACAAGTTCAGTTATTGCCATGGTGATTCTGTTGGGCTTGGTTACATATATTTCATTATTCAGAAAATGTTAGAATGAAAGTAAATGCTGTTGTTAAAATGTTGACCTTGAAGTTTTATTTTGTTGGTCATTTTTTTAGTGCACTATGTGGAAAATGTCCACCCACATTCAGGAATATAATAATCTGAACAAAATTGTGTACATTGAGAAGGTGGCGGTGGATTGCTTGGGTTAGTTTGGGCTCTAGCTGCTCTAGGTGAGGAACAGAGTAGTGACCCAAGAGAACTCTGTGTCATGGGCTCTGGCCCAATTGGTAAGACCCCTCCTAAGTTGCTTCTCACGTGTTGGACCACCAGCTGACGTGAAGTATGTTTGAGGGTAGGGAAGGACTAACAACCTGCTTCTCTCAGAAAGGGAGAAAAGCTTCATTATTCTTTATCTATTAAGGCAAATATTTTATCCTTTCATCTAATGGTGAGTTTCATTTCCATATTAATTTATAATTACTCTTCTTTTCCTTTTTAATGCATGATAATTTTTGCTCTAACAGGATTATTAAATTAAAATGTTTGCTCCGGTACAGCAGGAAGGTTTTTTATTTTATTTAGTAGAACAGGTTAAAACCTTTGTAAAACTAGCTTAAAAGTTAAAATAATTTAGATTGAGCTGTTCTAAAGGGCAAAGATCGAATAAAAAGCTAAATAAAGTATAACAGATCTGCTTGTGTGCAATTTGTTTGGTCTAAAACTTTGTTAGTCTTTAGTTGTGCAAATCCTTCTGAGTAACAGATCTAGCATGAAGGTTGTTCTGTCATAGGGCCATGGTCGAGTTGCTATTAATAACTCCTTTGGCTGCTGGTATAGGCGTCTAAACACACAGCACAAGTCTTGTGAATAAATAATGTGAGGCGGTGCTCTGTATCTACTTTTGTCCTAAAAACTTTTGACTGACTTTTAATGAAATTTGGATTAGAAATTTGGTTGAATTTCTTTTTTCTCGAATCTACAATCTGTTTAAAGTTTGTTTTTGGTATTTGTTGTCTCCCTTACATGTGCAGGTCTAAAACATACTGTTTTCTGTTTGAATGTGGATGCACAGCTTCCATCTCATCAAATATATTCCTGGGCAAAATGCTATCTTAGTTAAAGGTCTGTCTAAGCAATAAATCTGTTTGTTCTACCTCAGGTTTAAGGAAATCCACAAAGAAGCGTAGCGAGTCTCCTCCAGCAGAGCTCCCCAGTTTTCGGCGGAGCACACGCCAGAAGACCACGGGCTCCTGCGCCAGCACCAGGTAACATATGCATTCATGACTTTTAATCATTGTTAGAAAAATTACAGGACATTATTGGTTGCAAAGTAATAATGAAAATATTTTGTATTCTAAGTTACTAACATTTTGTCCTGTAACAGCAGGAAAAGCCCCTTGCCATTATGCTGTAAGGACATTTTCCTTTAAGTTCAGACATCAACACTACAAAGATTAATTTGACCCATATCTTCTGTAGAGATTCTGCTAATTTCCCTAGTGCTGCTTAGTAAGAAAAATAATATGAACAGCTTAAAAGGAGATTTCAACTTGTAAAGGATTCAGTAAAAGTGTCATTCTGGGCATGTCGTGCTTCATAGAAGTGATTTCACATCTGGTGCTTGGTCCTTATATTTGTCCCAATACATTATATAGCTTAAAGACCACCATCTTCCATGCATCTTGAATGTGTTCACAGTTGTTGTTAAGCGCTGTCCAGTCAAAATCAGATCATTGAGTGAGTGCATGTAGGCCAGGTGTGAGGGTGCTACAGTGTTTCCTGCACTGTTCCTTGTATGCCCACATTTTTATTGTTCTCATTTTCCAGTCGGCGGGGCTCAGGCCTGGGCAAGCGCGGGGCAGCCGACGCTCGCCGACAAGAGAAAATGGCCGATTCCGACAACAACCAAGATGGGGCCAATTCATCAGCTGCTCGCACTGATGAGGCATCCCAAGGAGCTTCAGGTAAAAATGAAAAACCTCTTAAGCCACGGCAAAGTTTTTGACTTTAGACAGAATACACACATAGAGTAGGGAACAACAAAAACACTCTTAACTCTCCTACATACTAGCATATTGTGAGCTGAGCAGAGTCTGTACATGCGTCTCATCATAGTTTCTCATGGAATATACCTTCCCGCACTACCATGGCATCGATGGATGAGTTTGCCTTAAAAACAAGAGAAAATCTTAAGTTTGTGCCTTTTCTCCTTCCACACCTTTCTTCTTCTGAAGCAGAAAGAGGCTGTTAAGCTGCGGGTCGTTATGACTGACTGCTTTGAGCAGTGTGTTGCTGCTAGCTCTCTCCTGGGGAGCCTTGTTGGCTCGTTACATTTAAAACAGTTCAGTACAGATATTTGTTCCTGGCAAGATGTATTTTCCTACAATGTGCTGTAATTAAACACTTTTGGTCACTGAAATATTGCTTTGCACACATTGGTCTGCAGGTTTCCTTGAAAGCGAGATTGTCACAAGATTTGTGAATTCACAAACTCCTCTTGGCAGAAGCCAGCAAATGCATTCTCCTCGATACAGAAATATTTCAGATAAATGAAATGCAGGGATGTGTATGACGTCAACCTGCCAAGCAAAACAAACATGGCCGCGCTGGTTTTAGCTAGAATACCCTCTTTGTGAAAAACGAGCAAAAGGACGCAATCATTGCCTTTGTGGATGAGAAGATGTTTGCGCGAATCCCCCCCAAACAGATTTGGTAAGAGTTAGATTTATCAATTAAATTTGCTAGTTTTGAAATGGACAAAGCTGCTCCTGCTGCTGTGATTGGCTAAAAACTTGACATAGGAGGCAGATCCCTAATCAGCTCAATGGAATTTACTGAATGTCCCTCCCTTTTTTTTTTTTTTTAACTCTTCCTACATTATGCTTCCCAGATCGGTACATGTAGTTCAATTTGAATTCTTTATGGCATTAATTTGGCTTATGCCAGGTCAGTCTACAGGAAATCCACCTGGGGTCTGAGCTGACAATGCAAATATGTGGGAACCTTTATTGTGCCATAGTGGAAGAGTTTTAATAAGATGTTGTGTGTTTTCGTCTTCACAGCTTCAAGCTCAGTTGCCGGAGCAGTGGGCATGACCACTTCTGGTGAGAGCGAGTCTGATGATTCAGAAATGGGAAGGCTTCAAGGTTTGTTCACATTCACTCCCTGGTTTTATCTCACATTGGCTATGAAAGCCAACACCAAAGTCTAATTATGCTAACTCCATGAACCTTGGTCATCCTCATAGCTCTGCTGGAAGCCAGAGGACTCCCACCACATCTTTTTGGCCCCCTGGGACCCCGCATGTCGCAGCTGTTTCACAGGACCATAGGCAGTGGAGCCAGTGAGTACAACCTTCCTACAACCAACATGGTCTGTCAACTTAACTAACTCCTCTTCTTGTTTTAGGTTCCAAGGCCCAGCAGCTACTGCAAGGCCTTCAGGCCACAGGGGATGAATCTCAACAGCTCCAAGCTGCCATTGAGATGTGCCAGCTGTTGGTGATGGGCAATGAAGAAACACTTGGTGGATTTCCTGTCAAAAGTGTGGTGCCTGCTCTGGTAAGTCCTGCCTACTCGTATTATTGGCCTTTTAAAATGTAATGGCATTGGCTACACAAGCTATGATTATTTCTTCTTTTTCAATAAATATTTTTCCACAAATAATACTGTAATATTTAACTAATCTGCTTAGTTTATTACAGTTAATCATTCACTTTCTTTTACAGATTACACTGTTACAGATGGAGCATAATTTTGAAATTGTAAGTATGATTGAGTTTTTTTTTTTTTCTTTTACAATCAATTTATTCTCTAAAACATCTGACTTCCTTGTGCTGCTCTGTGTGTACAGATGAACCATGCATCACGTGCGCTCACTTACATGATGGAGGCGCTTCCACGGTCATCTGCTGTGGTGGTCGATGCTATTCCCGTCTTCCTGGAGAAGGTAAACGCATTACTTCCTGGCTATAGTCACCCGCCTTTGTTTTTATTTTTTTTATAAAGCTCATGGCGTTTCTTATATTGTGTTCTTTACAGCTTCAGGTGATCCAGTTCATAGACGTGGCGGAGCAGGCCCTCACCGCCTTGGAAATGTTGTCAAGGCGACACAGCAAAGCAATCTTGCAGGCTGTAAGTATTATGTACACTTTTTGTTATCTTTTCATTTATCTACTCTGACTTTCTAGGACTCTGATATAATATGTCTTTGCTCTCAGGGCGGGCTCGCTGCCTGCCTCCTCTACCTGGAGTTCTTCAGCATCAATGCCCAGAGGAATGCCTTGGCCATAGCAGCAAACTGCTGCCAGAGCATTACCCCAGACGAGTTCCACTTTGTTGATGATTCTCTCTCACTTTTGACTCAGAGACTCACACATCAGGTGTGTATGCTTTAAATCAAGATAACTGATTGAAACTTGCATTGTTGTTCCAGATGTAATCAGAAGACTTTAATTAATGCTGCCTGTTGTTTACTGGGTCATTTCCTTTGATTTGTCACATTGAAATCCTAAAGGTGCCATGTGTTGACATGTCTCATTCACCTGTGATGTTTTGCTAAATTTTAAGATTTCACCAAATGTCTTTGAATGCAAAAATGGCAACAAACTAGATGTAAAAGCCACTGGTTAAAATGTCTTGATGGTTAAATTAAAATTTGATTAAAATTACGGTCTTAACATGTTCTTTTTAAGCTTTTAGTAAAATCTATTTTCTTTGTCTTTCAGGATAAGAAGTCAGTTGAAAGCACTTGTCTCTGTTTTGCCAGACTGGTAGACAACTTCCAGCATGAAGAGGTCTGTACTTTTATATGTTTGGTTCCAAGTTCCTGAAACTGGTTTGTTTTGTCGGATTTCGGCTAACTGTTTATTTTCTCAATCTGCTTTACTATATAGAACCTGCTGCAGCAGGTGGCATCGCGGGACCTGTTGACCAACATTCAGCAGTTGCTGGTTGTGACCCCTCCTGTTCTCAGCTCGGGGATGTTCATTATGGTTGTGCGCATGCTTTCGCTGATGTGCTCCAACTGCCCGACTCTGGCAGTCCAGCTTATGAAGCAGAGTGAGTAACTTAAACCTGGGGGAGTTCATTCATGGGCTGTTGGTTCTGATACACTGTAAGATTTTGTTTTTACTTGCCTAGTTTGGTTTCAATTTTGTTTTTGGCTGTTTTTGGGGACTACTTCTAACCAGAATATCTGTTGTTCTTTCTGAACAGACATAGCAGAAACTCTGCGTTTCCTCTTGTGTGGCGCATCCAATGGAAGCTGCCAGGAACAAATTGAGCTTGTACCTCGAAGCCCTCAGGAACTTTATGAACTGACCTCCCTCATTTGGTAACAGCTTTTTTTTATTGAATGTTATGGTTCCTAAACTTTAAATACATGAAATGATAAACAATTAGCATTATTAAAGATGCAATGTGAGAAAATATTCACATTTACTTTATTTATCTTTCCTATAACTTCACAAAGCCTCTCGACTTTACATGGATAAGTAAAGGTCCCACTGATTTTATTACAATTTTAAAGTGTTCAAAGACTTCTAATGCCTCAAAATATGTTTTACCATGACCATAAGTGAAAATGGTTACAAAAGTGACCGTTTCCCCATACAGGCATATTGCCTCCATGCTGACGACCCGTTTCAGGTTGTCAGACAGGCTCTACTTAAGATATTTCTTGATTCTGTAAGTTTTTGCTTTAGGCTTGTAGCTAGTTAAATCACTTTTAGCTTTCTAAAATTGTGGCTAATCAGTTGCTTCTAGACTTAAGGTCAGTTGATTCTAGATTTAAGCTCCGGTGCATCAGTATACAGAGAGAAAAAAATCAAATGAAGGCAAATACGTCTTGGCTACAAATCCTTCCCAATGAATTAAAGGATTCATAGCCATTTATCATAAATGGTTAATGGCACCAAGGCTGAGCAAATTACTTTCTTACCTAAAAACAGTTTCATTTATGCATTTTTAAGAACCTTTTTTCTCTCATTGAAACCAAAATAAGAAAATGTTTTTATATTTACTTAAGTGTTCTTTGTCTGATATTAAGAACTTATACTACTAAAATATATATATAGGTAAGAAAATATCCTCCAGCACTGTGGACACAATCACTTGCATTTGCTGTCAAGTTTTTAAACCCAAAGTGTTGAGGAAGAAAAGCTAAAATATTCCACTTATTCCTGTTCCCATACAGTGAGCTGATGCCCTGCCTCCCCAGAGAGGGCATCTTTGCAGTTGATGCCATGCTAAAGAAAGGCAGTGCCCAAACAACAGAGGGCGCAATCTGGCAGTGGAGGGATGACCGGGGCTTGTGGCATCCTTACAACCGCATCGACAGCCGCATTATTGAGGTGAGAATATCCTTTAAAATTTAACTTTACGAAGGAGTTTGAGCATCGGGCAAAGGTTTTTTTCTGCAGTAATGTGGGGTTTTCTATGTAATGCTGATGATGTGTGTATATACATATTTTTTTTTTTTCTGTAGACGGCCCACCAGAACGGAGAAGACGAAATAAGTCTGTCCACGCTGGGCCGCGTGTACACAATTGACTTCAACTCTATGCAGCAGATCAATGAAGACACAGGTACAGCGCGTGGTATCCAGAGGAAGCCTAACCCTCTTGCCAATCCCAACACGGGTAATTACAGCCCTTTTTACTTCTTTGACTATTATTTTGGTGTATAATGAACATTTGAGTGGACGAGTTCACAGCATCACATGCCTTAATAAAAATCTGTATATACTGTCTGTTTATATGCTTTTATTTTACAAAAGCGGTCTGTTTAACGTCTTTGATTTTTATTTGCAAGCAGATAGCTTTTTCTCAGTTAACCATTGAAAGCAAGTTCTTTAGCTCAGATGGTTTAAATTCAATTGAGCTTGACATTGTCTTATTTTTGTAAACTAGTCAATGATTTACACTGTGGAGCCTTTAGACACCATGTATATAAAACGTCTATGCACCAGTTGCTAAGCAGTTTCACTCAAATTTAAATTTCCACATTTAATTATATTAAATAAACTAAAACCTTTGCTCTCTTAGTTCCTTACCAGATTAAGGGGCGAAAATAATTCTAGAAATTCAACACAATCAGATTAGTAGCAAAGATGTGCATCATGTTAGCATTTAAATGCTCTATGGCTGTGTGGTGGATCTGCCTCTGTTGTTGCCCACCTGTTTATCTCATGGAAGCAGTTTATGGAGTGTGTGTCAGGAGTTCCATCATTCATCTCTTTCATGACTAAAAGATGTATTTAAATGTTTGGAGGGAACCTCGAAAGACCTTCGATCAAGATTAGAAATTCTGTCCTGAATATCATTATTTAATGTCCTTTAAAAAAAAATAATTTTTTTTTAGGGAGTCACCAAGAGGTCCGTCGAGAAGACGCCAGAGCCCAGCTGATGAAGGAGGACCCTGAGCTTGCTAAGTGCTTTATAAAAACACTGTTTGGGGTCTTGTATGAGGTGTACAGCTCATCAGCTGGCCCTGCTGTCAGACACAAGTGCCTTAGAGCCATCCTCAGGATCATCTACTTTGCTGACGCTGAGCTGCTGAAGGATGTGCTGAGGAACCATGCTGTGTCCAGGTAAAAATGCTAAAATAGGATAGGAAACTTTTCAACTGATCTGAATCGAGAGTAAATTGACTCATTTTATTTGTTTCCCCATCCAGTCATATTGCCTCCATGCTGTCAAGCCAGGACCTGAAGATCGTGGTTGGTTCTCTGCAGATGGCAGAGATCCTCATGCAGAAGCTGCCTGATGTCTTCAGTGTCTATTTTAGAAGAGAAGGTACTGATGAGTGGTGCCAGTACAAACTTATGGACCCTTAAAAAAAATGCTTTATCACTGAAAGTTTTCAACTAAAAAATGAACAGCAGAATTCCTGTGATGCTGAGATTATGCTTTTTCCAGCTCACTATCATATGAATTATGGGTATTTATGATTCCTGGTTTGAGATAAAAGGTCTAATTAGTGTTTCTACAGTAGAACATATTTTTTATAAAGCAGAATGCACTCGATGTCATTGTTTTTGCACAGTTTGAAAGCAGCTTGTTTTGTTATGCATTTTCATTCCTGGATGTCTCCTAATTTACCTTTCCCAGTTTGATTGCTGCAGTCTGCATATGTATCAGTTCTGACAGTTTTTTTTTTTTTTGTTTCTACTCTCCCAGGTGTAATGCACCAAGTAAAGAACCTCGCTGAGTCTGAGAGCTTTCTTGTCACCAGTCCCCCAAAGGCCTGCTCTAGTGGCACCGCCAGCCACTGCACCACAACAATCACTAGTGTATCCACAACATCAGCTAACATTGCAGCCCCTGACCTGGGCTCCCCCAGCTTTCAGCACAGCATGGAAGACTCCCTGGACCTCAGTCCACAGGGGTGAGTTTTAATTGTCATGAAACACACTCATAAAATCAAACAAGCTTAACAGAAATATGCTTATTCTTAATGCTCATTTTGTGTCAGTAATTATTGTTTTTATACTTGGGAGGGAATTTAAAATGATTTTCTTTCCCATTAAGGCGGTTAAGTGATGTCCTAAAGAGAAAACGACTTCCAAAAAGAGGACCCCGAAGGCCCAAGTACTCTCCACCAAGAGATGACGATAAAGCAGACAATCAGGGTAAGTGTTGAAGTAGCACTATGTGGCCTTTTTAAAAATTCTGTGTCTGAAAAGGAAAACACATTTGATGATATTTGCATAACTGGTAGTCTTCTTTGCAGCCAAGAGCCCCACCAGTACTCAGTCACCCAAGTCATCCTTCTTGGCTAGCCTCAACCCTAAGACCTGGGGGAAGCTGGGTGCTCAAACTAATAACGCCAACTCTGAGCCATCACGCACAGCAGGAGTTAGCGGACTAGCAAGAGCGCCTCCCAAAGACTCGATTTCAAATAACAGGTACTGTGATATCTTCCTGATAGGCATTCATTTGGAAGGATCTCTGGTTGCTGTTCTGACATGTTTTACTATTCTTTTTTTTTAATGCTGTAGAGACAAAATCAAAGCCTGGATTAAAGAGCAGGCAAGTAAATTTGTGGAGCGCTACTTCAACTCTGAGAATGTGGACGGCAGCAACCCCGCTCTGAATGTTCTCCAGAGACTTTGCACGGCCACCGAGCAGCTGAACCTGCAGGTAAAACATTCACCATTGATGAACACAAAGCCTAGGCAACAAATACCCTACTCATTAAAAGTTCAAACTGATATTTCACACATCAATTATTTTTTTTAAATAATGTAAATGGGAAGAAATTAAAATATATATATATTCAATTCTTACCTTACAAATTTAACACAAGATTTCATGGAAAAACAACTGGCATAAAAATGCTAAAGCTGCTATTGATCTGTGAATGCTGCCATCCTCACAACCCCAGGCATGTTTAAAATGCAAGATGTGTTAAATTAGTTTTTCAGATGATTGTAAAATCTCTACGACAAATGTGAGAGTTCAGAAAATGGTGCAGGAAAAACTACATGGAGACAAAAATGTATGAAAGTATGATGTGATCTGGAGTTATTTAGATGGGCTATTATCAGCTGTGAAGATGTATAGATGTTTAATAAGTTCTAACACTTCATGATCCTTATGGTGAGGCGTAACGTCTCCCAGCTAGAAGAATATACTTAATATTTCTCACCATCTTCTGCTGTTTTACAGGCGGATGGTGGCCTGGAGTGCCTGGTGGAGATCTCCAACATTGTATCAGAGTCTGATGTGTCGTCTTTTGAGATCCAGCACAGCGGCTTGGTGAAGCAGCTGTTACTCTATCTTACCTCCAACACAGACAGAGACCTGCTCAGTCGGGACGTGCGACTCAGGAGGTTCCTCAACGTCTTTGCTGGTTGTCCGGTGAGAATCTTATAGAAATATGCAGGATGCCATCATCTAGAAATTCTTGATTTGATGTACGATGACCGTATCCTCTTCTAAATTTGTTCTAAATAGTCTTTCAAGAAAGTGGAAAGCCTACATAGGCATTAAAGGGTTTGTGACCTGCGTCCTGTTTGATATCATGCAGTTTCTGTATATTTTATCATGTTTTTTGTGGCTTCCAGGTTCCTGGCATAGATCCTTTAGGTCGTCTGGATCCCACAAACAGCTCGGCGTACCTGGCTCTTGTGCATAAGATGAACAGCTGTCTGAGCCAGATGGAGCAGTTCCCCGTCAAGGTGCACGACTTTCCCAGTGGCAACGGCAATGGCAGCAGGTCAGTGACTCTGCACAAATCTTTGCTTTTGAGAGTTAGAAGGTGCTCCATCTGGCCTGTTACATGTGATTAAATGTTTTTGTCTTATCAGAGGGTCTCAGGCGCTGAAGTTCTTCAACACACATCAGCTGAAGTGTCAGCTGCAAAGACACCCAGACTGCACCAATGTTAAACAGTGGAAAGGGGGCCCTGTGAAGATTGACCCTCTGGCTCTGGTGCAAGCAATCGAGAGATATCTAGTGGTTAGAGGTGAGAAGCATGTCCTTGTTTTTTTTGTTGTTGTTTTTTTAAGACACTACATGGTTTAAATAAATTTGAACCAGGGTCATATGTTTAAATTGATTCCTCATTGATAATCTTTTTGTCTCTAGGTTACGGCCGAATCAGGGAAGAAGATGAGGACAGTGATGATGACGGTTCGGATGATGAAATAGATGAATCACTGGTACATTATTGCATCTTTCTGTTTAAAAATCTACTGTTTAAATAATCTTCAGATTTTGCCTTAAAAGACAGCTGCTGTTAACGCTTTGATAATCGTTGCTCACTCAGGCGGCCCAGTTCCTAAATTCTGGCAGCGTGCGTCACAGACTACAGTTCTACATCGGTGACCACCTGCTACCATACAACATGACGGTGTACCAGGCTGTACGGCAATACAGTCTTCATTCGGAGGAAGAAAGGGAGTCCACGGATGATGAAGCCAATCCACTTGGCAGGGCTGGAATCTGGACCAAAACGCACACAATATGGTAAATTTCCATGAACCATGTTTATTGCTTTGTTTGTTAGAGGGATGATTTGAAAAAAAAGGAAGGGAAGTATGAAAAAGTCTGAACTTGTTTTTTTTTTATATGGTTTTTATCTTAAGATAAACTGTATTCATAGCAGTGTTAGGTAAGGTACTTACCTAAAAGTTTTTGGTCCTAAAAGTGTGAAGCTTAATATGTTTTAATCAAAGTCTTTTTGAGTCCTTATGTTTCATCTTGTTGTTTCGCAGGTATAAGCCTGTGAGAGAAGACGAAGAAGGAAGTAAGGATGCAGTAGGTGGAAAGAGAGGCCGCGCCCAGACCGCTCCCACTAAAACCTCACCACGCAACGCCAAGAAACAGGATGAGCTGTGGCATGGTGAGAATCAAGGTTATCCCCACTTCTACAATAAGTTTTCAGAAACATGAAACATTTCAGTAGTTTTATAACTGCAAAGCATTGCAGGAAATCACAGGGACAAGGTATGTCTGTCGTTTACAAGAAATCTTCTTCTGTGGTAGAGACAAGCATCTAATAGCAGCCACTACTGAGCTATTTTCTATGCTGTGTGAATTAATATGAAAATCATCCAAACAGCAGTTCCTTTTGCATCACATAACCTTGATGAGTTTTACCCTCACTGATGTTTAATCCAAACTCCAATCAGGTCACACCTAGACTGCTTTTCCTAACTAAACATGTATGAATTATCCATAAAAACAAAAACAAATGACTTTGTGTTCATTAACTTTGGTGTTTGTGTTTTTTTTTTCTCCTACAAATAGAATAAAGGGTTCTCAGATCACAGAATCGGTCATTTAAAAATAATCCAGGTTACATAAAATTAAGCGTATTGTTTTTGAACTGATCCAGGGAGCGGACAAATTTTATATTGATTTTGAATTCAGGATTTTTAAGTCATTTTAATTTCCTGTTCATTAATTTGATTTTAGTTATAATGTAGAAGTGAAGAGGAGAATTCACTGGAGTGGGATTAAAAGGAAAAAAAATGATTCTGGGAACAGTATTGACCCACTGAAAACAAGCATGGATAAAAATGATTGACCAATTAGAACAATAAAAGACTGCTAAAATAATCACTGTATCAGTGGCTTTATGTAACTGCTGGCAGATTGAGCTCTTTAGCTTGTTGTATGTTCTTTCTAACTGCATGTATGGATTGTTCTATTTTCTCAGACGGAGTCTGCCCCAGTGTCGCCAATCCTTTGGAAACATACCTCACTACAGAGCCACCGGAGACCATAACCTTCGATGACCCCTCTTTAGATGTCACCCTGCTGCTGAGGATCCTACACTCCATCAGTAGATTCTGGTTCTACTTATATGATGTAGGTCTCCTTCAGCATCATAAATTGATGACTTCAACTGCAAATCCTTTCTTAATTACACACAGAGATGATGACTGATTTATATAAAATCTTTAGTTAAAGGTTGCTGCTTCTGATTAGATTGTTGTATTGAATCATTACCTCATTCATGTTTCCTTTTTTTTTCCTTAGAATGCTGCATGTAAGGAAATTATTTCGAACTCGGAGTTCATTAATAGTAAACTGACTGCCAAAGCCAATCGTCAGCTACAAGACCCCCTGGTCATCATGACTGGGAACATCCCCACCTGGCTTATCGAGCTGGGAAAGACCTGGTAAGTACTTTCCACTGCTCAGTATAGCAATACATCAATATAAGGAGAGTGAAAATGACTTCTCACCGCCCCATAATTTTCTCCACCTCTACAGCCCCTTCTTCTTCCCCTTCGACACTCGGCAGATGTTATTTTATGTCACTGCCTTTGATCGAGACAGAGCAATGCAACGCCTGCTGGACACAAACCCCGAGATCAATCAGTCAGATTCTCAGGACAGCAGAGTCGCTCCACGTCTCGATAGGAAAAAGGTGGGTTTGGCCTGATCAAACCATGAAGTTAGACATACACCAGTCCATCAACCAGTGATTGGGACTGGCTCATTTCCCACAATCTTAGACTGACTGGTGGGACAAACACACACACAAAAATAAGATTTTCCTTTTTTTCTGCCTTTCTTTTAATGAAATACTAAGACCTTCATACCACATCATACCTATACTTTAATTAACCTTTTAAATATAAAGTGAGATGAGGGTTGGGGAAACTAGGATTGATGCGTAAATGTAGGTTTTCATTTAATTGAACATTCTTTTGGAATGTAAAGATTTTTTATTTATTTAAATTTGATTTATCATATTGGTAGACTAACATCAATAATCTGCGATTTCCTGAAGAAACTGATTTTTTTTCTTGTTTCATAAGGATCCTTGCATAACATCAAGAGCCAAACCTTTTTTACAAGTTATACTATATATATATATATATATATATATATATATATATATATATATATATATATATATATATATATATATATATATATATATATATATATATATATATAATGACAAATTGGCTACTGGAACAAGACATAGATGGACTAGAGCAGAAAACTTGGTACTGATGAAATGCTACTATACAAGCATGCCCAGTGAGAGAGGTTACATGCAGAGACTATGGGAATTATGGCAGCTCCAACAACCATTGTCATCATTGACAAAGAAACAACTACTAACACAGTGTTCCAACATCCGCAAACGGCAGCTCCTTTCACAGCTAGAAATTGACGAGGTACAACTGACATGCTGCGGCAAGGGGGAGTTAGGACAACAGGTCAGTAGGGAAATATCATCACTCCAACACACAGAGATTGGGTCCCCAGCCCCAACTACAACAGGCCCACTAAACGTAAGGGCAGCTGACCTGCGACAGCAGATCATAACGAAACTGGATCCCCTAGTACGACGACCAAGACTGCCAAGGCTAAGTGACAGAGTACCCTCTGAAAGCCTTCTAGAAGATGTAAATGCAGCACTACATACTATCCCTACTAAGGACATAACTGAAACCAATGAGCTGACCTACGCCACAGCTACAGTGATCCTAGAGATGCTTGGCTATAAGATAAACACCACAGGCCACAAAGCAGAGCCCCCATGGAGAAGAAGGCTGGAAGCCAGGATCAAGGCAACACGAAGAGAGGTTAGTCAGCTCTCAGACCTGCAGAAAGGTGTAGGGAAGAGGTTACCTAAGTACAACAAGCTGTCGATTCCTGAGGCTCTGGAAACTGCCAAACAAAGACTCGCCGCCCTGGCCACCCGCCTAAAGAGATACAAGGGAGAAGCAGAAGCCAGGAGAATAAACCAGGTGTTCTCCACCAACCCATCCAAAGTGTACTCACAGTGGCAGGGTAATTCAAGATCAGATCCACCCAGGGCTGAGACTGAACTGTACTGGAGAAACATATGGGAGAAGGAGGCATCCCACAACACCAATGCTCAGTGGCTGGAAGATCTAAGAACAGATCACAGCAATCTCCCAGAACAAGAACCAGTAACCATTACAACGGCAGATGTCCAAGAAAGAGCGGCAGGTATGAAGAGCTGGACAGCACCAGGCCCTGACATGATCCACACCTACTGGCTGAAAAAACTAACCGCACTTCATGCACGCCTCGCAGCACAAATGAACCAACTGCTGATGGATGGGACCCACCCAGAATGGCTAACCCAAGGACGGACAATCCTGATCATGAAGGATCCGCAGAAGGGAACAACCCCATCCAACTACCGGCCAATAACTTGCCTATGTACAACATGGAAGCTCCTGTCAGGCATCATAGCGGCTAAGATGAATAGGCACATGGCTCAATACATGCACCCTGCCCAGAAGGGAATAGGAAGCAACACCAGAGGAGCCAAGCACCAGCTACTAGTGGATAGAGCAGTCACCCGAGACTGTAAGACCAGGCAGACAAATCTGTGCACTGCCTGGATTGACTATAAGAAAGCCTATGACTCAATGCCACATACATGGATACTGGAATGCCTGGAAATGTACAAGATCAACAGGACTCTAATAGCCTTCATCAAGAACTCAATGAAGCTGTGGAAAACAAGTCTGGAAGCCAATGCAAAGCCAGTAGCACAAGTCACCATCAAGTGCGGCATATACGAAGGCGATGCACTATCCCGCTGCTGTTCTGCATAGGCCTTAACCCCCTCAGCCAGATCATCACAAAGACTGGCTACGGATACCAATTCCGAAGCGGAACAATCATCAGTCACCTCCTCTACATGGATGACATCAAGCTGTATGCCAGGAGTGAGCGAGACATCGACTCACTGATCCACACTACCAGGATCTACAGCAACGACATTGGGATGTCATTCGGACTGGACAAGTGCGGTCGCATGGTCTCAAAGAGAGGGAAGATGATCAGAACCGAGGGGGTTGAACTACCAGAAGGCCACAAAACAGATGTTCAGGACAGCTACAAATACCTTGGGGTGCCACAGGCTAACGGAAACCACGAGGAGATGGCAAGAAAGACTGCCACAGCTAAATACCTACAAAGAGTAAGGCAGGTCCTGAAAAGTCAGCTGAATGGGAAAAACAAGATCCAAGCCATCAACACATATGCCCTACCAGTCATCAGATACCCCGCTGGTATAATAAACTGGCCAAAGGAGGAGATAGAGGCTACTGACATCAAGACGAGAAAGCTCCTCACAATGCATGGAGGGTTCCACCCCAAATCCAGCACTCTGAGACTGTACACCAAGCGTAGCGAGGGAGGCCGAGGGCTAGTGAGTGTCAAGACCACTGTCCAGGATGAAACAACTAAGATCCAGGAGTACATCAGAAAGATGGCCCCCAAAGACAAATGGCTTGGTGAGTACCTCAGGCACGAGAAAACCGAAAGTGAGGACAAGAAAGAGGAAGGAGAACCATCATGGAGGGACAAGCCGCTGCACGGCGTATACCACAGACAAATAGAAGAAGTGGCTGATATCAAGAAATCCTACCAGTGGCTGGAAAAGGCTGGACTGAAGGACAGCACAGAGGCACTAATCATGGCAGCACAAGAACAGGCACTCAGTACAAGATCAATAGAGGCCAGGGTCTACCACACCAGGCAGGACCCCCGATGCAGACTGTGCAAAGATGCCCCTGAAACAATACGGCACATAACAGCGGGGTGTAAAATGCAGGCAGGAAGTGCATACATGGAACGCCACAACCAGGTAGCTGTCATAGTGTACAGGAACATCTGCCATGAGTATGGGCTGGAAGTCCCAAGGTCAAAATGGAAGACACCTCCTAAGGTAGTTGAGAATGACCGAGCTAAGATCCTATGGGACTTCAAGATCCAGACTGACAAACAGGTGATGGCTAACCAACCAGACATCGTGTTGATCGACAAACAGCAGAAGAAGGCAGTAGTGATAGATGTGGCAATCCCAAGCGACAGCAACATCAAGAAGAAAGAACACGAGAAGCTTGAGAAATACCAAGGACTGAAGGAGGAGCTAGAAAAGATGTGGAAAGTAAGAGCAGCAGTGGTGCCAGTGGTAATTGGAGCACTGGGGGCTGTGACCCCCAAACTGGGAGAGTGGCTACAGCAGATTCCAGGTAAAACATCAGAGGTCTCTGTCCAGAAGAGCGCAGTCCTAGGAACAGCTAAGATACTGCGCAGAACCCTCAAACTCCCAGGCCTCTGGTAGAGGACCCGAGCTTGAGGATGACACATACCACCCCACGAGGGGTGAGAAAACAGTAGTATAATTATATTATATTATATTATACCGGTTTCTTATAACGAGTAATTTATTGAGAAGATAAAACTAAATGGGAACCTATTAAGTTTCTAAATTAAAAATAATAATGTGACGCTTCAGTTTTTCAATTACAGAGATGAAAAACTGCCATTGAAAGATGGATTATGGTGCTCTGTTATTCTGTTGTACTTCCGAGCAGAGGAGTCAATGCTCCTCCACAATATTGCACTATTAAATGGGCACTATGTAGGTGGTGACTTATGGAGTTCATTAAATGTTTATTTATAAACATAACTTCTTAAAGCTTATTCTGCATCTTTGTCAGTATAAATGGTATAAATAATCCCAGACTGGACTCTAGATCAATTCATGTTTCTATTATAGCATGCCTCTGGTCTAGCATTACCTCTTTAGCAAATACTAGGGAGGTTGTGCTTGAGAATGAAAAGTGGTGTCCTCTAGTGGACTGCAGTAACACTGCAACGTTAAAAGCAGTTATTAACTAATCGGATGGAATAAGTTTTGTTCTAATAAACCATTTATTGGCAGTTTGTTGTAGGTTGATTGTTTACATCCATAGTTGGTTTTATAACCGCTATTTCTGAAGCCTGGCAGGGGAGGTTCAATTTCAGAAATCTGTAAGGACATGACACTGGGCACATTAGATGTGACGGTGGGTCCTGTCAGAATGCATGATGCTTACAGCACGACCTTTGAATCACACTGGTGATGCAGGTATTGTTCCAAGTTTAAAAAAAGGGTGAAAAGGGGAAAGCGGAGGCAAAAAGTTTTCATATTCAGCAGTAGTCGCACTGCATGAGTTACCCAGGAAATTTCTGACCATGTGTGGTATTTGTTAAAGGTTGTCTGTGTCCAGCACTTGAATGACCACAGACAACCATTTAACCTGCTTTGATGCCTCATTATTAGCCTGGATTAAGAGCCTAATCAAGTTTTTCAATATATTTTGAGTCTTACATTTGCTTCATCAAAATGCCTTGACATCAACATTCCAAATACAGGCTTTCATTTTATTGATTTTTTTTTTTTTATTGTTATTTACTCTTCTCTTTCCAGAGAACGATAAACCGAGAGGATCTATTAAAACAGGCAGAGTCTGTGATGCAGGATCTTGGCAGCTCCAGGGCAATGCTAGAGATCCAGTATGAGAACGAGGTATTTAAAAAGAAAAAAGAAAATAATATAATGCTCTCTCTTATATTATTCCTCTGTATCTTTGCTGCCAAAACTGAGATGGTTCTTTTTTGCAGGTGGGCACAGGTCTCGGCCCGACCCAGGAGTTCTACGCTCTGGTTTCTCAGGAGCTTCAGAGAGCAGATCTTGGTCTTTGGAGAGGCGAAGAGATTACTCTGGCCAATCCTAAAGGTACTGACCTGTGCTACATAAGGTTTAACCAGCTCATTCATTAGAAAGCATTTTATTAGAATCAGTTTGTTTTTTTATTCTGGTTGTGTAGTTATGTTGTCTGTGACACTCTGACCTTTCCCCTTCAGGAAACCAAGAGGGCACCAAGTACATGTTCAACTCCAGAGGACTGTTTGCTGTTCCCTTTGGCAGGACGACAAAACCAGCACACATAGCCAAAATTAAAATGAAGTTCCGCTTCCTAGGAAAGTTGATGGCTAAAGCCATCATGGACTTTAGATTGGTACCAACTTCTGTTTCCTTCTTTTCTTCCTCTGTAGAATCATTCTAAGAGCTCTTTATATATGAACTCTTTAAATTCTGCCTGTTTTGTTTCACCTCTCACTCAAATGTTTCTAAGTTGTGTTCGGTTTTACACAGAATACCCTGAACCATTTCCCACTTGTTCCTTTTCCTAGCTGGATCTGCCGTTGGGGCTTCCGTTTTATAAGTGGATGCTGCGACATGAGACGTCTATAAGCTCTCACGACTTGATGAACATTGATCCAGGCGTGGCCAAGTCCATCCAGCACCTGGAGGATATCATTCGCCAGAAGAAGAGGTTGGAACAGGACAGATCACAGGTAAATCACGACCCTGAGGATCTCTGTTTTAATCCGATGGTTATACTGATCTGTAAGACGCATATTAAGGAAACACTGAACTCTGTTCACAGGCTACTTTAAAAATAATTTTTCCTCTTTCTTACTTATTGTCTTTAACAGACCAGAGAAGCCCTCCAGCAGGCCCTAGAGAGCCTGAACATGAACGGCTGCTCAGTGGAGGACCTGGGCTTGGACTTCACTCTGCCAGGGTTCCCAAACATTGAGCTGAAAAAGGGCGGAAAAGACGTGCCAGTTACAATCTACAACCTTGAGGAGTACCTCAGGGTACGGCGTTGTCTGCTGCAACTCACACGCCTCATTGTTCTGCTCATTGTTTTCTATTCACTTAAGATGTTTTCTTTTTTGGCATCATTTTAGTTGGTGGTTTACTGGACCTTAAATGAAGGAGTATCAAGGCAATTTGAGTCATTCAGGGAAGGGTTTGAGTCAGTCTTCCCTTTGCATCACCTTCAGTATTTCTATCCAGAAGAGGTAAGAGACATCAACAGTCCCCCATTTGTTTGTTTGTACTTAAAGTACAGTGATCCAAAGAAGACTGTTTCTGGGTAATTTCATATGCATAATTTGAGATAAGAAAATTACTCATAACTTCATGTTTTGTTCAGCCTTAATTGTATTGACAGTTGTAAATATGTTACTGCATATATTTGGTAGGGTTGGGCGACATTTGAATTCAAACAATTTAGGTTCAGATTCCTCTTTTTGATTTCAGTTCTCTATTTCGATTATTTTAAGCATAAAGGCAATAAAAGTAAACCTGTTTTAATACAGCAGGATAACCAGAGTTCTCTGGATGATATGGTCTGAATTTCTCACATTTGAATCGTATGAATATTTAATACTCTAAAATCTTTCTGTAAATAATCACATGGTTATTTTATATAAATATCAAACTTATGAATTCTGATATAATTATGAAATTCTCTATTTGACATAAAGCTCTACTGTTGAAAACCTCATTAGAACACATTTATGCATGTCCAGTGTCTGATGCTGAAGGCGCATAAAGGGCTCGACTCTTAGGGAGCCGCAAGCAGCAGTGACAGACTGCTCTCATCGCCACCTCTGTTAAACCAAACACACACAAAGTTAACGTAACTTTCTAGATCAATTCAGAGTGTACTCATGACGTCACCACACGCTCTGCTAGTCTGGAGCTGTATTTGACCACCTGTTATTAAGTCTCTAGATAATAATAAATTGTTACTTTTTCATTTATTGGGGGAATGATAGTTAACATAGTCAATTAAACACCAATCAAATGAATATTTTGCCAAATAAAACAAAAAACGTGTCATCAGAGCCAGCAGTCCTTCACACGCAGCTATGCTGAGAGACGGCTGCTGCAGACAGGCGCAGGGTTAGACCTGGCTGCCGTTCACCTTAGAGGTCTGCTGGTTGCTGCGGTCCTCTCAACTTCAGAATTATTATTTTTTTAATTATGCATTCAATCAGTAAATGGGCCATAGAGTGACGCTTAAAAGTATAATGTTCTTGCCTCAAAAGATCTTAAAACATACTTTTATTGAACAACGGCAACAAAAAAAGACAACTTTTAACTTGATGGTCTGAGCTCTACGAGCTGCTGCTGCCGCAGTACATGCTGGGATAGCTGTCAATCTCAAGAAACGAGAGGTCTGCTCTGATGCATACTCGGTAAATAGGGAGGGGCGAGACCAACATCCAGGGACTTTGTCCGTTCTCAGTCTGCTGTTCTTGTGATTTGGAACAGTACTAGAGCTGAGGACGTTTCACGAGTACATCAGAATGCACAAGAGCACATATTGAGAAATGGCCAGTGCCAGAATTTGAGAAAAAAGCAGAGAAACAGATGTTGTGCCAAGTAAGATATCCTAACTTTGTTTACTGCATCTTAATTCCACTCAAATAGAGGCCTAAGAAGTCTTATTTTACTTATGTTGACAGAGGAATGACGAAACTGGGCCAAAAAACTACATATATATATATATATATATATATATATATATATATATATATATATATATATATATATATATATATATATATATATATATATATATATATATAAAGCTGAAAATGGACATACCCTGGATATGCCAAACATATTAAGACAAAGAAACAGAACATCATGCAGATGCTGCATCTAATATCTTGATAAAGTGGCTCCACACTTGATTGTTCCTCTCTGCCTGTAAAATAATTATATATATACATTTAGTGTATTTTGCTAATTAGATTTCAATTCTACAGATGAGGATTTAAAAATTAAAACAAGTGGCTGCATACAGGTTAAAGTATAAACACAGTGGTTAATGGAAGGTGTTTTGTATCTGATTAATTTTAAAAGATTCATTCACAAAAAAAACTCAGAAATGCATGTTTGCTATACAGGTGCTGGTCATAAAATTAGAATATCATGAAAAAGTAGATTGATTTCAGTAATTCCATTTAAAAAGTGAAACTTGTATATTATATTCATACATTACATACAAACTCATATATTTCAGATGTTTATTTTGTTTAATTTTGATGATTACAAATGACAACAAATGAAAATCTCAAATTCATCATATCAGAAAATTAGAATATTACTGAAGACCAATAAAAACAAAGGATTTATAGAAATGTTGGCCAACTGAAAAGTATGAACATGAAAAGTATGAGCATGTACAGCACTCAGTATTTAGTTGGGCCTCCTTTGGCCTGTATTACTGCAGCAATGCGGCGTGGCATGGAGTCGATCAGTCTGTGGCACTGCTCAGGTGTTATGATAGCCCAGGTTGCTCTAATAGTGGCTTTTAGCTCTTCTGAATTGTGGGTCTGGTGTATTGCATCTTCTTCTTCACAATACCCCATAGATTTTCTATGGGGTTAAGGTCAGGAGAGTTTGCTGGCCAATTAAGAACAGGGATACCATGGTCCTTCAACCAGGTACTGGTAGCTTTGGCACTGTGTGCAGGTGCCAAGTCCTGTTGGAAAATGAAATCTGCATCTCCAAAAAGTTGGTCAGCTGCAGGAAGCATGAAGTGCTCTAAAACTTCCTGGTATGTGGCTGCGTTGACCCTGGACCTCAGAAAACACAATGGACCAACACCAGCAGATGACATGGCACCCCAAACCATCACTGACTGTGGAAACTTTACACTGGACTTCAAGCAACGTGGATGAAGTGCCTCTCTTCTTTTCCTCCAGACTCTGGGACCTTGATTTCCAAAGGAAATGCAAAATTTACTTTCATCAGAGAACATGACTTTGGACCACTCACCAGCAGTCCAGTCCTGTTTCTCTTTAGCCCAGGCAAGACGCTTCTGACGCTGTCTGTGGTTCAAGAGTGGCTTGACACAAGGAATGCGACAGCAGAAACCCATGTCTTTCATACGTCTGTGTGTGGTGGTTCTTGAAGCACTCGCTCCAGCTGCAGTCCACTCTTTGTGAATCTCCCCCACATTTTTGAATGGGTTTTGTTTCACAATCCTCTCCAGGGTGCGGTTATCTCTCTTGCTTGTACACTTTTTTCGACCACATCTTTTCCTTCCCTTCGCCTCTCTATTAATGTGCTTGGACACTGAGCTCTGTGAACAGCCAGCCTCTTTAGCGATGACCTTTTGTGTCTTGCCCTCCTTGTGCAAGGTGTCGATGGTCGTCTTTTGGACAACTGTCAAGTCAGCAGTCTTCCCCATGATTGTGTAGCCTATAGAACTAGACTGAAAGACCATTTAAAGGCTTTTGCAGGTGGTTTGAGTTAATTAGCTGATTAGAGTGTGGCACCAGGGGCCATCAATTTTGAACCTTTTCACAATATTCTAATTTTCTGATATGATGAATTTGAGATTTTCATTTGTTGTCATTTGTAATCATCAAAATTAAACAAAATAAACATCTGAAATATATGAGTTTGTATGTAATGTATGAATATAATATACAAGTTTCACTTTTTAAATGGAATTACTGAAATCAATCTACTTTTTCATGATATTCTAATTTTATGACCAGCACCTGTATTTACAAGCAGCTGAAAAGTTCCCCCCTCCACTAAACACAGGGAACTAAACTAGATTTAAGAGGCAATGCTGCAGCTTTTAAATCATCCAAATTTAATTAAAACTAAATACATAGGTTGGAGCCTTACACAGAGCTAGAATACTAATATGTTTGCCAAAACTAGTGCATATAAAACTCGTCAGCTGTTTGTTATGGGGCACTAAACTTTAGTTTTACAAAATCACAGCTTACCATGGAGTAAACTGCATACATCATCCTTCCATCCAACTCCATGCTTACGCTAGCAGCAGCAGGGTAAGCCTGTGTGTTTGCGGCAAAGGGCGGTACAGAAAGAGCTCACTGAGCGTGGGGGAGTGCTAGCGGAGCAGCTCAGCGCTCACGAAGGAGTAGCAGAGAAGCAGATCTATTCCTAAATCTGGTAGATCTAGATTTAAATTGTCTGTTGAAAACACTGGAAATGAGGCAGCTAAAACTATGTAAAAAGGAAGGAAGGATGAAAAAAGGTGCCATTCTTCCTGTTGGTGTAGCATTTTAGCCAGACTTGATTCAGACGACACACTTAATGATGAAGTTTGATGGACTATGGTGGGGTGTTCCAACCCATTTATTCATCAAACAGGAGAAAACACCATAGAGACACCCTAAGAGCTGTAAATAAAATAAAGCAAAAAATCATTCCATTTACATGTGATCAAATTTCTTATTTAGCCAACCAAACCATAAAGGATAAATACAATTAGCTAACATTAGCTTACTTGCTTGCTTAAACTTCGTTTGCATATAAAAACATATCAACTTTTAAATGTTACAAAAAATAAAACACCTTCCAGCTAGATGCCAAATAAAATATGCATCGAAACCTGTAATGTCCTTTAGAAGCCAAAAGAAAATCGTTATGAAGGTAGAAACATTTGCGGTTCTTCAGGAAGTAGAAAAGCAGAACTTCAAAGTAAAAGCCTCTTAAACCTTTTTGACATCCTTCAATATAAATCTGAAATTATTAACAAAATAAACCCCAGAAGACTCAGGGACATTAGGTGCAAAAAAAATGACAACAAACAGATAATATGTACAAAAAATCAGGATGTCTGAATGGTGTCCTACTACAAGTGATTCACATGGTTGACTGGTCATCTTTTTTAATCGTTTCATAACTCCCTTGAACAAATGGAGAGTTTGTTGGTATTTAGCAGCTTCTTCCTGTCATTCAAAAGATTCCAGCAGAATTGAAATGTTAGAATAATTTCCAATCAGTTCTGGTGCCCGACCCTGAAGACAAATAGAAGAAGTTGTCTGTTTTTAACTTCATACTGTACTATGGGATTTTTAGACTAACTTGAAATCAAAACCTTTTTACTCTTTTCCAAATAAAAGGGGCTTTGCTCTTTTGTAGTTGGGATAAGTTCTTGTCTAATTTTTTTTTGCTTTTTTTTTAGCTCGACCAGTTGCTTTGTGGCAGTAAATCAGAGACATGGGATGTCAAGACGCTGATGGAGTGCTGCCGGCCAGACCACGGCTACACACACGACAGGTAGCATGAAGCTATGATGTGGTTTAAGCTTCTTTAGCTTTTAATTTTTTTATTCTTCATAGACGAGAGTTATTAAAGGAGTATCTCAACACAGTGAATTCTAAAAAAAAAAAAAAAAAAAAAAAAAAAGTTAATCCAAGACTGATAGACATGCTAACCCTACAACATGGTTTGTTAGGAGCAATGTTATTAAGGTAGAAGCGGATCTGATTTCTACAGCAGTGGGATAGTAAACCTTCCAGATAACATAAGGTAATGCAAGCAGTGCGCTATCTGCAGCGGTAACAAGAAACCTGTTAATCAGAGGACCGATCAGTAGGATAATGAACACAGCAGCAGCTAATTAACCAGTTAGGGTTCGAGACTTTTAGAGTTGCTGCTGCCTATATTTGCATTGATCAGATCCTTAGTTGCACTGTAACAAATATACTTGGTAAAGGCTGAATAATTTGTTTTCTTTTTTTCAGAAGGATTCTTAATTAGTCCATTAGAAGTAAAAGTTTCTTGCAAAATAATCATTTTATGACGTTAACAGCTAAGAATAAATAAACAAACTAAAACAGAAATTCTACACTAGATCTCTACGCAAAATGTTTAAAAAAAGTTAAGAAAAAATCCACTGGTCTTTCTTTCCAAGTTTGAAGACATTTCGCTTCCTATCCAGGAAGCTTTTTCAATTCAGAATGTCAGAAATGACATTGTGTTCTAGGCTTTCTTTGCAAAATGCTTCACATCAGCCGTACAGTGAGACAGGGTGGGGCCGGCATCATGCTGTGCTTTAGTAGAAGCAGGTTCAGCGGTCTGAGCTAAACATAGAACAAACCAGGAAGAAGAACCTCCCATCAGACTAACCCTACTCTACCAGGATGAGTCATCATCCAACCAATGTTTTTAGAAAATGTAGCATAAAATCACATTTTACTGATATCAGCCACATTGTACATTATCTTTCTCCTTTTAAAATCTTCATCTTCTATATTCCAGCCGGGCCATCCGCTTCCTGTTCGAGGTGTTGAGCAGCTTTGATGCTGAACAGCAGAGACTCTTCCTCCAGTTTGTAACAGGAAGCCCAAGGCTGCCAGTCGGAGGTGATTATAAGAAACAATCAGCAAAACACGTCAGCCCTGTAATTAACCTCACAATAACCTGGATGATGTCATCCACAGGTTTCCGGAGCCTGAACCCCCCTCTGACAATTGTGAGGAAGACGTTTGAGTCGACGGAGAACCCGGACGACTTCCTCCCCTCAGTCATGACCTGCGTCAACTACCTGAAGCTGCCTGACTACTCCAGCATAGAGATCATGCGAGAAAAACTGTTGATCGCTGCCCGCGAGGGCCAGCAGTCGTTCCACCTCTCCTGATCTCGCCACATCTCAAATACAAATGCCTTCTTCAGCAACTGATTAAATCATTACTTCCTTAGTTTTGTTTTGTACTCTCACACATCGAGGCTATGGGGATAGCCTTCTTGTTAGAGAAAGCAGCTTGCAGAAAAGTTAAGACTTTAAATATATATTTGCTGCCCTCGTCTCTCCCAAAAAAAAAAAAAAAAAAAAAAAAAAAATGGAAGCGTGTTTCCATGACACAGAACATAAGATATAAAAGAGAATACAACTTATATCAGTAGTGTTAAAAAGAAGAAAACATCTGGGTGACATTTTAAATTGCATTGCTATGTGATATTTAAAAGAAGAAAAAAAGAAAAAAGGGATTTCTCTTCTCCAGAGTGGTGGACGGCTTCCTGGGGAGGAAGGGCAGTGCGACTTCATTGAGCAGGCTAGGTTTACTTTAGCTCCAAAGATCATTTGTACAGACAAATTTGCAAACTTTGCTCATTCTACACATTTGATAGAATAGTTCTTTGTTTTCATGTCCTCCCCACTCAGTTCAAACGTTGGCATTTTGTTCTGTATTATATCTGCCCCCAGTCCGTGTGCATTTTTTTGGTTCGGCTTCCTCTCCCCTGTGTGTCTTTGCTTCCAGATGTGAGAGATGCTGTCAGTTGAATGCAGGTAGTGATAAGATCATATTACTTTTTTTTTTTTTTTTCTTTTCTTTTCCTCCCCCAAAACACCATCAACCTGAGTTGGGACTGTGTTCTGGCCTCCTTTATTATAGAAAGCTTCAACTTAAAGGAAGAGTTGTAACCTATGTGTTGACCAGGTGAATTTGTTTTGCTCTTATTTTGATAGAGTTAGTGACTGTTCTGTTCGGCCCTTCTGGATGTTTAGGCTGACGTTGGTAGACCAAGCTCTGAGCAACCTTCAACACATAAAATGTAGCTGGGCACAAAAAGACAAAAAAAAAAAGAATTGGCTGGTCTCATTTTATCGTTTCTTGGCCAGATAGCATTTCAAGTTCATTTATTGAATAAAGTATATATGCAGTTTCATACCATGTTTGAGGTGGGAATGTCTGCTTTACCATTTTTATTTTTTTTATTTTCTATGATGTCTTTTTTTTTTTTTTTTCCCTCTCGCTGTAGTTGATTTTTTTCTTTTCTTTGCACTGCTGGCTTGGAACAAACCGTGGTGTGCACTTGCAGTCTGTGGCCAGGGGAGGGCGCCACTGTATGCTCTCCTGGCCCAATCGTTCATGTGCTGGTTTCTAAGATCTGCAATAATTTACTTGCATCAGGTTCATGTTTTTACCTGAACATAAATAAAGTAACTGTTTGACTCATTGGGTTATAGTTTTAATTCCCCCCATCCTGTTTTCTTTACCTATTGTTTAACAGAAGAGTTATAGTTAGAAATTCATTTACTCCTTTGTTTTAGACCTACTTGCATAATAAGGGTTATTAAACCTCTGTAGGTTTAATAACTGTTTATTACTGGTTTGAACCCTTTCCCTGCTTCTTTGTTCGAAAACCCCAAGCCCAAACAACAAAAGGCTTAACTACGATTAAACCTTGCATAACGTCTTCATGGGTGCTGCAACGGTGAACCATAAGTTAAAATCTAGGTTACTTTTTCTTTTACCCGCATAGACCGTTCCAAGAAAATTATTAAATTAAAATAAAGAAATAAAAGACATAATCTGATCAGGTCCAGGCTGCACGCTGGCCTTAACCAGGAGACTTTCTTTTTTTTCCTTTGCATCTCAAACTGGTTTATGAGCTGGAAAATTTGACACTTAATATTGATGTAACATTAACTGTAGAAGCTTCATCATTCTGTTGGGTTGCCCTCCAAGATCCTTTCAGTGTTTATGATGTAGATTCAACAAGGTGTTTAGAGATTTCAGTCTGTGTCGTACAGATCGTCTCCTGCTCCCATGGCTGTAGAACTGGTCCCAGCCTCTGCACTGAACACATTATACTAAATACACTTGAGTGCTTGCAAAGAAACCAAAAACCGATCAGTACAATTTTTTTCCTACATATTTACTTTAACAATTAAAAGATTAAAAAAAATAAGGTATTTAACTTATTTCAGGAGTCTGAAACCTGCACTTATTAAAGGATAAGCCACAGACCTGTTTCTTTTGTTCTGTGGCCGCTGTAGCTCCAGTGGTAAATTTCATCTAAACCTGCCCTGGTCTGTTCCTGAAGAGCAATGTTGGATGGGAAAATGGGGATGAGTATTGTAGTACAGAGAGGTGGTCTAAGCTCTGGGACAGGAGTCAATATAATATAGTTTGCATTTATCTGTTATGACCACACTGATGGTGTGATGGTGGTTTTTAAATGATAACTAAAGGAAAAGTGGATTAATTCTGTTTTAAATTCCCAGCATCGCCTTGCTGCCGCCAACCATTGAAGCTGATGGACCAAGTAATCCATCTCTGATTCCTTGTAATCCAAATATGGTATTAAACTGTAGCCTCAGCCTCCTGTTCTGGGCTTTCTCCTGTGGTGTTTATGCTGCTGTAAGTTAGACATGTTCAGCAACAGTACCCTGCAACCTTTAAATCTTAAGATGTCTGTTTTAAGATTGAGCTTTCTGCAATTGTGAACAATTCTGCTCACTCTTCTTTCACATTTAGGCATTTCAGTCCACAAAGCAGCAGCTTCAGGATCCATTCAGTAAATAAAAACTTCACAATCACCTAATTCTCCCAATTCAGAGGCTCTGTTTAAATATCAGCAGGGCCATGATATTGGCTTATTTGTTGTTTGAACTGATGTACTTAATAAAGTAGCCAGTAATTGTTGGTGTAAAGAAAGAACCATTCTTTATTTGGGGATTTGGAACAAAAACAACCAGTAAATATCACCTTTATATACAGGAGATGAATCCTGAGACATAATTATTAATAATAATCCAGTCAGCAATATATAAGGACTGCAGAAGACGAAGTGCAAATTTTACCATTAATTTCATTTGTTGAATTTTAATGCAGAATGACTAAAACCAGTCTTTGCCTTTATGAATTGTTGCAACTTTTATCATACTTTTGAATCCAGGCTTTGATGGTTTTCTTTCATTTGTTTCATTGCTAAACTTTTACAATATGACAAACTTTTTCACAGAGCTGAACACTGAGCTTGGTGAGGCCACAGAAAAATGAAACCCAGGGCTCATTCTGTAGCCGTACAACTTTGTCCCAAATGGAGTTTGGGCCTGAACACTGAGGCATCTCAGGAGAGAGCTAATAATAGCTCCACACTGACACACACCATCCACTCAGAGCATGAATGTCTGAACGAGGACAATGGGAGAAAAAAATAAAGAAACAGGCTCATGCATCTTTTCCCTGGTTTCATCTGTTCTAAAAAAAAAAACAGTCTTCATATTTGATGATCACCACAGCTTTTTAAACATGTCTGTATATCTTTGGATGTTGACCTTATAATTCTATGCAAACAGCCTGTTTATTGGTTTTTGTGCGTCAGTCTCCACACTGCCCCCTATCGCACAGTCAGTGCAAATCCTCATGCACATGACTTGGCAGTAAACAAGAAATACAGAGTATTTTGGGAATATCAGTCTCTTTGACGCAAAGATTTTCAAAGTAAAGCCTGAGTGATCTTTAAGTGCCTTAAAATATTTTAATGACACAGAAGAATCTTCTTAGAATAGAAAATGAATGAAATAAGCAGAATTAGCCAAACCATAAGCTTAAATTTTGATTTCATAATAAATAAAGCCACAAATATTCACCCATATATATATATATATATATATATATATATATATATATATATATATATATATATATATATATATATATATTCACATTCCAAAGCAAATTTAGACGCACTATTAATCCAGCTAGGCTAGCTGTACTAAAATAAATTAATAAAGGGACTCAAATCCTGATCATGTTTATAGAAAATAACACAAGGATTGTGGAAACTGTAGCTCCGTCAAAACACATTTAATGCTTCAGACTAGCTATCATTAATGATATAGTTTTATTCAGCATTTAAAAAGTGGCCTGTTTAGTTGTTGAAGAGCAGGGGGAAAATAAGGATTTTGGTAAATAAGACTAAATGAGATTTAGTCTTATTTAGATGTAATAGGTTGTATTTATCAGTTAAATCTATTCTGAATGGCTCATCCAGTTGTTTTTTGACACATTACAAGGTCCTTTGCATTCTTTTTTTTTTTATTGGCCGGTAGATGAATTCCCTTTTTCGCTGTATCAGCCTTATTTTTTAAAACTTACGAGTTTTGGGGGATTTTTTTCTGGTAGATGAAATTTACGCTCACAATGACCTCACCACTGACTTTTTGAATTCTGAACACTGAGAAAGCAAAGGCCTTTATATGGACGAGTTATTGATGTGCTTTTGGAATATTTCTTGTTTTTGGTTGAGCACCTGTAGGAGAGATTTACCACAAGTGGCTTTCCTGTTAGTCGATGACAGCTTCCACTTTCCCAGAGCCGTAGGAATGGCTTTTTGGCCCCTTTTCCAAACTGTGATGTGTTAATATATGATATCTTTTAGTATTTTTCTTGTTTTAGGTTCTGTTTAAATGGTTTGTCTTCTCTGTCACTGACTGGGCTTTGGTGCAAATAATGAAACTGAACAAATAAAATGTTTGGTTACCGACTGTAACTATTAAAACATCTAAACTCCTGGTGCAGCTTTGGATCATCTATACCACCACAGTATCGCTATTTTCCATATTTTCTTCGTCGATCATCTTGAATCCAGCCTTATGGAAGTCATGAATGATCAGACTCTAAATGAGGAGGATGCTCTCGGCACAAAGAGTGTGTCAAAGACAAGGGAGGGAGGGGTATGAAGGTGATAGTGGGGAGGGGGGTTGAGTAATGCTGAGTGTCGTCAGTGATCTCCGTCACTGTGACTCACACAGAGACAAGAGCCAATAGCCTATTTTTCCTTCTCCTCCTGCATCCCTACTTTTTCCTCCTCAGTCCTGGTACCACTAGCCAGTCATTCTCTCTGCACAAAGCCAAGGATCAACAGCAGCCTCCTCCTCTCTCCCTCTCTCTCTCACACACCTCTCAGTTGCAGCTGAGCTCAGCCAGCACTAACAGAAGCTCTAAAGAAAGCAAACACACAAAGAAAAGAGGCTCAGGATGCAGATGAGTGTCTCCAGCATGCCGGCAGTTACCTCCTGCCGTCACCTCCATGCTGCCTGGAAGCTGACTTTGCCCCTACTTCTCCTGCTGCTCCAAGGCAGAGTAATCAAAGGTGTCCCCTCTCCTTTCCAGCTGGCTCCGGACACCCCTGCCCCGGCCGAGCCCACACCGACCCAACCCACACCTCGCCCGGACCCCTGTGAAGGCCGGCCCTGTCTCAACGGGGGACTCTGCCTTGCACTCCCACCTCCGCTCAGGCTGGAGAACAGCTGGGAGTACACATGCACCTGCAGCCAGGGGTTCACTGGACGCAACTGTGAGGTATGAACCCACCAAACCTATCCGTGTACTTATTTGCATAAGGTTTGATTGCAACACACATTCTGTTGTTTGTAAGTGGATTTTTATTAGAATAGGAGCATGTGTGGTCACTGTGACATGGAGTGGAGTGCCGCGTTGCTGTGGAAACAGGGAGGAAGAGCAGCAGCAGAGAGAGATGCAGGAGGAGAAGTCTGTGAGTGTGTTTGAAAGAGAGGGACAGAAAACAATATTTACACAATGTTTATTTAACTAAAAGCTACATATTGATGAGGGATTTTTGGTAAAAGTTTTCTTTTTTGAGCTTTCTGTTCAGGGTTGCACAAAGTTGCAACAGATTGATGCAGATGCAGACTCATTTATTTATGAATTTATTAACTAAAGGAGGAGATGAGGCCAAAGGGCCGTCTCTAATGAGAATCCTTTAGTTTCCTGCTGGGCTGTCATGATGAAATGAATAAAAAGCAAACTGGGTTGGTGTTAAACTCCAAGAATACCAAACAGCTCAGATCTTATTACCTGAGAATTAATTTTATGTATTAATGGTCTTCAATTTTCACCAAAGCCTAGAAAATTCTGCAACATGTATTTTATTGACAATTTTGCTCTCCTTTAAGATAATAACCTCATTTATTGAGCTGCTTTTATTTTTATCAGCTCGTCTATAATTTCCAGGGTTGCTAAAAGCTCTGCTGCAGACCTCTTTTATTCTGATAGCTTCTCATTGATGTTCTCATAAACCTGCTCCATTGCTCCCTGGCTGTGTGAGCTTTATTTGAGGCTTTTGAAGAGTTTTGCCAAACGTCACTACGGCACTTGGCTTCTGAGTCATGCTAGGCTGATGTGAGCGAGAGCATCCATCAGCAG